TAAAGTTGAAAAAGTGAAAAAGCATAATAGCACCCCTTTAAAATACATATTCTTTCATTTCAGGGGCCCCTCAATTCCTTACCGTAAACGGAAGCTGGAAGAGGATGAGCGCCAGACCATCCCTAACATACTTCAAGGGGAGGTAGCTCGGCTTAATTCCAAATTCTTGGTCAATCTGGACCAGTCCTTTTGCAGCAACAATGGAACGGTGCATCTCATATGTAAACTAGGTCAGTTCAGACCCCCTGCCCACTATATGTGCCCTTTAAAAATAATAATTGACTATTCACTCCTGCCACTGTCTCTTTCTAGATGATAAAAACCTTCCCAGTGTTCCCCCTCTTCAGCTGAGCATTCCAGCAGACTACCCCGATCAGAGCCCCCACTGGGAAGATGACTGTCAGCAGTATGGTGAGTCTAAGCGTGTTTTGTGCATTAAATGTCAGCATGCTATCTTAGGTTGCCTTTTACTCTCTTAAGCTCCCAATTTAAATGAAAACCCATAGGTTGTGAACCGTATTAACTCATCACTTCCCTACCTTCCTCTCTCTGTTTTCAGAGGCCAACCCCTTTTTGCAGACTGTGCATAAGAACATGACCTCTAAACTCCTTCAGCTTCCTGACAAGCACTCGGTGACAGCGCTGCTGAACACCTGGGCTCAAAGCGTGAGGCAGGCTTGCCTTTCAGCTGCTTAGAAATGTATTCCCATCAGCACTAGCAGCCCAGTATACTCCTTGCACCTCTATGGAATGATGGCAATATATTAATACTTTTTGTCTTTATTTACATGAATTATAATCTATTTTGTTTAGTCTAGTACACTAAGGCCTTAACTGTTTGTGCATTGCTCCATTAATAAAGACATTTAAACTGCTGTTTCAATCTGAAATGTGTGGCACAAAAGTCATATACAAGTAGTCATGTAACCACATGACTGGTCCTTCAGCGCATAGTCCTCTGTAGACGATTTCTCTGCACAGCCTGAGTCCTCCTGTGTCTATCTGCTATGTTATTGAGGGTCTGTTTGAGGGCAGGGAGGATCACTTTCTCTGCTTTACTAGCCTGAGACATGGGTCTGTTCAAGTAGTAACAGAACAAAGGTTGATATCTCCAAAGCTGAACCGTTTATGTCAGGCAGCTTGGAAACAAAATAAATA